TCACCCCTCCCTCTCCCACAATCACCCCCTCTCACAATCACACCCCCCTCCCTCTCACAATCACCCCCTCTCACAATCACACCCCCTCCCTCTCACAATCACCCCCTTCTCTCTAACAATCACCCCCTCCCTCTCATCCTCACCCACCCTCCGCCTCACCATCACCCCTTCCCTCACGCCATTATCCACTATACAAGCACACACACTGCATTCACTATACAAACACACACAGACACACACTTACAAATGTGTCTGTGTATCTATATGTGTGTTGGTATATGTGTGTCAGTGTGTGTCTGTTTGTGTGTCTGTGTATCTGTTTGTGTGTCTGTGTTTGTATCAATGTGTCTGTATGTGTGTGTCTCTATCTGTATGTGTATCTGTGTCTGTGCCTGTGTGTCTCTCTCTGTGTCTGTATGTGTGTGTGTTTTTATCTATAATTGTGTTTGTATCTGTGTGTCTATCTGTATGTGCCAGTGTTTGTCTTTGTATGACTGTTTCTATGTAACTGCATGTGTGTACCTAGGTGTCTGTGTATGTGTGCCAGTGTGTATATATGTAAGTATATGTATGTATGTATGTATGTATATGTGCATACATCTCTGCGTTTCCCCTACACTACACACAAATACAACCCTGCATCCAAATGTCAACACTACAAAAAAAACACCACCATATTCAAAAACCACACTACAGAAAAATTCACTCCTGCATTCAAATGCCAATACGTGCAAACACACCCGTACATTCACTCACACATACTCCATACAAAAACATGCTTACATTCAAACACACGAACAGTGCTTGATGCTAAATATATAAAAATAAAAACACTGCTCAGTGCTAAAGACATTACATTAACAATAACTAAATAGCGGCCAACCATTAACTAAAGAAATCTATGGGAAGTATCCATTCAGCATTAACTATATAAATAGTTATAGGTTTATTCCCTAAACAAAGCAAATCGGGCCTCAAAAAGCAGAGTTGGAGACATTTTTGGCTTGGCTGTTTTGATTGGCCTTTTATGTTATCCAAATAGTTCACTTGTTTCTACAATATTAAAAACAAAACAAAAAAAGAAAAACAAATTCCGTCTTCATAATGTTAAACATTATCATAAAAGAAAGAACAAATATCAAAGTGTGGTTTAATAGAACAAATCAAATAATGGTTGATATACATCATACCTTATAGTGCATTCTTTACTGTATTTCATTTCTTTTCCTGCCAGAGAGATGCAATATTCTAATTGTGATTTTTTTTTTTTTTAAATATATATGTTACACCTTATTACACATTATTCAGGACACCGATTAACAGACCACCCACCACATGATTAACCCTGACCTAATCCCCTACCCAAAAAAAAAGAAATCTGTTGTGGTGTGTAGTAGAGTTGTAATAGATGAATTGGAAATAATCTCTGTCATCTAGACACATAGAATGTGACGGCAGATAAGAACCATTCGGCCCATCTAGTCTGCCCAATTTTCTAAATACTTTCATTAGTCACTAGCCTTATCTTACAGTTAATATAGCCTTATGCTTAAACATCTACCACTTCAGCTGGAAGGCTATTCCATGCATTCACTACCCTCTCAGTAAAGTAATACTTCCTGATATTCTTTGCCCCTCTAATTTAAGACTATTTCCTCTTGCTGTGGTAGTTTTTCTTCTTTTAAATATAGTCTCATCCTTTACTGTGTTGATTCCCTTTATGTATTTAAATGTTTCTATCATATCCCCCCTGTCTTGTCTTTTCTCCAAGCTATACATGTTAAGATTCTTTAACCTTTCCTGGTGAGTTTTATCCCGCAATCAATTAACCAGTTTAGTAGGTCTTCTATGAACTTTTTCCAAAGTATCAATATCCTTCTGAAGATACGGTCTCCAGTACTGTGTACAATACTCTGAGTGAGGTCTCAGCAGTGTTCTGTACAATGGCATGAGCACTTCCCTCTTTCTACTGCTAATACCTCTCCCTATACAACCAAGCATTCTGCTAGCATTTCCAGCTGCTCTATTACATTGTTTTCCTACCTTTAAGTCATCTGAAATAATTACTCCTAAATCTCTTTCCTCAGATGTTGAGGTTAGGACTCTATCAAATATTCTATACTCTGCCCTTTGGTTTTTAAACCCAGGATGCATTATCTTGCACTTATCCACATGAAATGTCAGTTGCCACAGTTCTGACCATTTTTCTAATTTTCCTAAATAATTTGCCATTTTGCTTATCGCTCCTGCAACATTAACCCTGTTGCAAATTTTAGTACCATCATCAAAAAGATACCTTACCATCAAGACCTTCTGCAATATCACTAATAAAAATATTAAAGAGAATGGGTCCAAGTACAGATCCCTGAAGTACACCACTGGTGACAAAACCTTGCTTCGAATATACTCCATTGACTACAACCCTCTGTTGCCTGTCACTCAGCCACTGCCTTACCCATTCAACAATTTTGGAATCCAAACTTAAAGATTGCAGTTTATTGATAAGCCTGTGGAACAGTGTCAAAAGCCTTACTGAAATCTAGGTAAGCAATGTCTACTGCACCACCCTGATCTATTATTTTAATTACCCAATCAAAAGAAATCAATAAGATTAGTTTGGCATGATTTCCATGAAGTAAACCCATATTGTCTCTGATCTATACTTCCAGTTAAGTTATTTTAGTCTTACATTTGAAATTCACTTTTTCAATTTAACTTTTATTTGAATTCCTGACAATTCTCACTTCAGTCAATAAGCTTGTTTATATAAATTGGTATGCTCATTTGTCCTACAATGTGATTATAGAATCTATCACTATGTTAAAACACTAAAAAAAATCCAATCCGTGTGTACCTGGATTACAAACACTGCTCTAGAAAGTTTCCAAACTACCTAATTATGCTTAGTCCAGTTTGTCTCCTTTTCACCCTGTATGACAGTGGTAGTCAACCTTTTTCTTCCTACCGCCCACTAATGCATCTTCCTTGATGAAAAAATGTCCTTACCGCCCACCAGTTTTCGCGCAAGTGCGGAATATTTTTTAGAAAGGAGGGCGTTTAAAAAAAATAAATGTACGTACATTTATCTTTTTATTTCTACTTAATGCATGTTTATAATGTTTTTAACTTTATAAAGTTTAATGAGAAAACAATAAAGTAAATTGAAATTACCTTTACTAGTGATTAATGAGATCCTTGAGGTTGATGCTGCGAGACTAAATATTTGATATCTGGTTCGATTTTCGTAAGTAACAAACAAAGGTCTCCTCTTTCGGTGATATTCAGACGACTTCTCTGTTTGTGCATAATATGATTTCTCATCTGTGCGTCATCCCTCCTCTTCCTCCTCAATTCCCCTCCCCACCTTTTTTCCCCCCCTTTTTTCTATTTTGTAACCTTACTTATAGCAATGCCCAGTAGGAAGGCTGAGCTAGGTAGCCCACTTACTATAGCCCACTATAACAGACAGGTACACATACAAGACACACATACAAACAGACAGGCACACACACGACACATACAGACACACAGACAGGCACACACACACACATGACACATACATACAAACAGACAGGCACACATACACCACACGACACATACATGCAAACATACACACACACAGACACACACATAAGACATACATTCAAAGACACACAGACACAAGACACACATACATACAGACACATACCTAAGACACAGATACATACAAAGATACGTACACACACAACACATACATACAAAGACAAGACACACACAACACATACATACAAAGACAAGACACACATACACACACACAAGACATACATACAAAGACACATACATAAGACACACATACATACGAAGACACATACAGACACACACAAGACATACATACAAAGACACACACACAAGACATACAAATGGTGATGGCGGTACCCGGTCGCAGTGGTACCGCCGGCTCGCATCCGCCCGCCCGCCCAATCTCTCCAAATGAGGAAATTCCTACCGCCCACCTGGAATCCTGAAACGCCCACTAGTGGGCGGTAGGGACCAGGTTGACGACCCATGCTGTATGACCTTCATTCACCACCATTTTCAATTCTTCACTATAAAGAGGAAGTGGTTTATGCAGGTTCTCCCACAAAGCTATGCACGCATGGTATAACCTTCCAGAATATATGAATGTATTTTCCGTAAAAAGGCCAATGTAATAATGTGTAATTGTATTTTATTTGTACAGTATGTCCTTATGTATTTTGAAGTGAATACTTGATAGAGAGAAAAAAAAGAGATAGGGAGAGAAATTTAGAGAAAAATATTGATTCTCTTGGTCGTAAAGACCTTGCACAGTTGAACTGTGGTTGTAAAAAAAAGTTGGAAGAACATTGAGGGGAAAAAACTGGAAGAAAGGAGGTGGGTTGGAGTCAATTATACATTAAGGCAGACCTGCACAACTTGGCAATCGGTAGGGGCCAAAATGAAAATAGGATAACTTATTCAGACCGCAAATAGGTTTTAACGCCACACTTTCCAAGTAAAGCTATAAAACTGCATATAAAAATACAGATACACCCACACACTGACAGACATACAAATACACACACAGACACACACTGACAGACATACAGATACACAGACAGACATACAGATACACAAACATACATTGACAGGCATACAGATACACACACACACCCACACACACACTGACAGAAATACAGATACACAAATACACATAAATTCTCCTGTGTGACACCTATCTACCCAGTTTTGCACTGTTAAAGAGACACTACAGTTACCAAAACAACTTTAGCTTAATAAAGCAGTTTTAGTGTATAGATCATGCTCCTACAGTTTCACTACTCAATTCTCTGTCATTTAGGAGTTAAATCACGTTTGTTTCTGTTTATGCAGCCCTAGCCGCACCTACCCTGGCTGTGACTGACACCGCCTGCATGAAAACAAAATGGTTTGATTTTCAATCAGATGTAACTTAGTTTAAAAGTTTGTATCTCCTGCTCTGTATATTGAACTTTAATTGCACACAGGAGGCTCCTTCAGGGTGTAGCAAGCTATTAATAGAGCAGGAGATAAGAAATTCTAAATTAATCAAAATTTGCAATGAATGAAGTACAGTATATACACAATATATGACTCTTTACATGAAGTGTTTAGGAGCACAGTGCAAGTCACAGGGAGATGTGACTAGTGATGCATAAACAAAATGATTTAACTCCTAAATGGTAGAGAATTGAGCAGTGAGACTACATGAGGATGATCTATACACCAAAACCGATTCATTAAGCTAAATTTGTTTTGATGTCTATAGTTTCCCTTTAATTATGCTTCTTCTCATTTAAATGAATAAATGAGTTATTGACTTTTACAAAGACCTGGCTTATATTTATAGTAGGGATGTCTTTTTTGCTCTTTTTAACTATTAAACATTTGTATAACTATTTTAAAAATAAAGTTTTGCAGACAAACACTTACCTCTTTTATGTTTAATGATGCAGTATGCAATATTAATGGTGACAGATAACACAAAAGCCACAGACATAATGCCAAATGCTGTCCAAATCGGTAAACAATCTAAAGGAACAAATAAGAGAAAGTAATAAACTAATTTTTACTGCTGTTAACCTCTTCAAGACCGGACTGTTTTTGCGATGTTTGTATGTTAAGGATCAGAGCAATTTTAACACTTTTTTGTGGTGTTTGTGTTTAGCTGTAATTTTCCGCTCTCTCATTTACTGTTCCGATACAAATTATGTATTGTTTTTTTCAGGACAAAAAGGGCTTTCTTTACATACTATTATTTTTATCATGTCATATAATTTAATTTAAAAAAAATTAATAAAATATGGTAAATTTTTTTTTAAAAACAAGTTTTTTGACTTCTACTGAAAAAATCTTTTACTGATCTACAAAATTGAATGAAACAAACTGCTAAATAGATTAAAAATTTTGTCCTGAGTTTAAAAACACCCAATTTTTATGTGTTTTTTGCTTTTATTTGCAAGTTATAGGGCTATAAGTACAAGTAGGAAATTGTTGTTTCAAAATGTACATTTTTCAAATGAATCAATAGTGACATTGTAACACTGTTATGTCATAAATCTCCAAAAAAACACCCCACATGTATATATTCATCTAAGGGTATATTCATCTAAGAATATTTTGATACTTTCTATGCAGCCATTTAACCACAAACCTTTGCCAAACTTTGCATAGGTAGTTTATTTTTATTTATTTTCCACATACATTGCAATTAAGGTATAAATTTACAGATTCTGTTAGGTGTTACTGCCAAACAACACCCCAATATGTGTTCAGCAACATCTCCCGAGTACAGGGATACCCCCCATGTATAGGTGTGTCTGGTTGTTGGTGGGCTAAGAGGCCACTTTTGGTAGGTGCGCTTATCAGTTTCCCAGCTTGGAATTTTGACATGTAGTCAACCTGCATGCATGTCCTATTTGGGACATTTTTATAGCCGGCCAATGTATTTTACCCCCATCAAACCATATATTTTGAAAAGTAGACAACCCAAGGTATTTTAAATGGTGGTATTTTAACACTTTTCATGCTCTGAATTCTACCACCAGCCTTTGTCAAACTTTTGGGTAGTAATCATTTTTTGTTTCTTTGTCACACACATTGTACTTTAGGCATGAATTAACAGATCCTGTTATGTGTCACTGCCATACACCACCCCAATATGTTCAGCAACATCTCCCGAGTACAGTGATACCCCCAATATATAGGGTTGCTGAGTTGTTTGGGGGCCAAAAGGCAACAATCAGAACTTGTACATGTCAGTTTTTCAACTTGATATATATGTATGCTTGGTCTATCTTCAGTTTGACATATTTTTGCACCCCCCAGTTAATGTTACCATCATGACAGTATATATAGTATATATTTTTATAAAGTAAACATCAAAGGTTATAGAAGATGTGGTGTTTTGACTTCTTTCCCCCAACCATTTTGCCCCCCAAAGAAAGTGTAGTGGTAATTTTTTAATTCTGGTTTTTATGCACACGTCATCTGGTTTTGGCCAGCTGGTTATGTGTTACTGACAGAAAACTTGTTAGACCAAATGTGCAGGTAGCAAATGTACATTTAGCAGCAATCTTTAAACTGACTCCTGCAAATAGAATCTAACTGGAGATTTGGGGGAAGGAAACTGACTAACAAAAAATGGCTGCTTTCCAAAGAAACAAAAAAAAATAAAAAAATTTAGGAACACGTCTTACAACTGTTCTGTGTGGTACAGCTTGAAACATGTTCCTACACACAGTCCTGGTTTCAAAGGGAAATCAGGACAGTGAAAAGGGGTGTCTGTCCTTTTCCCGTTTTTAAAACAGACCCGGCAACGTTTCTGGGGGTTTTTTTTTCTAGCAGTTGGCGGTAACTTAAAAATAAAATGTCTGCACTCAGCTTGCACCGTTGTTGGAACTTGTCCATCTCCATAAATTGTTAAAGAAATTCTTTTCAACTCAAACTGGAGAATGGCGGTTTTCCTTGGATTATTTTTTTAAAAAGTAAAAATGAGTTGTGGGTTGCTATTTGCATCAGATAGATAGCCACCTTTTTAAACCATGCTTTGGTTTTTCGTAAAATAAGATATGGCTGCATCAGCTGATCAGCCAAATCAACACCCCCCATGTACTTGTTATACGCCCTGATGCAAACCGGTTTGGACTCTACTCTGCCCCGGACAGAGATGTCTGACATGCGTTCAACATGGATGGTGGTTAGCATGTTGACATCCTTCCTGTCCCTAAATTTTAGTGCAAGCACTTCAGCTTTGTGAAGTGCTTTACATTTGCCTTTTTTTAAATTTTGCCTCTATTAGAGATGTTGGAAAGTCTTTGGAATTTTTTCTGGCAGTGCCGCAGGCCAGTGTCTGTAAACCATAAAGTGTTTTAAACAGACGGACACTACTATAAAAATTATCCACATAAAGGTAGTAACCTTTATTAAACAAGGGGTTTAGTAGGTCCCATACAAGTTTCCCACTCGTCCCCAGGGAGTCAGGACAGCCAGGAGGGTCCAATTGACCATCTTTCCCCTCATATACACGAAAGGCAAACGTGTATCCACTTTCGCTCTCGCACAGTTTGTACAGTTTTATGCCATACCTAGAGCGCTTTGAGGGGATGTATTGTCTGAACCCTAATCTCCCTTTGTATTTCATTAGCGATTCATCTATGGATACATTTTGTTGGGGGGTATAAACATATGAAAATTTGTCCTGAAAATGGTCTAGCAGTGGGCGTATTTTATGACGCCTATCGTATTGGGGGTGATCTCTAGAGTGACAGAGGGTATTGTCAATGAAATGTAAAAATCTCAGCAGTAACTTGTATCTGGCTCTAGGCATGGTTTGGGAGAATACTGGACTAGACATTATTGGGTTGGTGCTCCAGTATGAGCGAATCGATGGCTTCTTTATAATCCCCATGAGCATTGTAAGAGCCCAGAATTTTTTAAGCCCTGGGACATCTGTGGGATGCCAGTCATGCTCCCCAACTGTATAGCTACCTGGATTGTTATAAAAAAAATGGGTAGCATACAAGTTAGTCTGTGAAGCAATCTCCTCCCAGATGGTATCCCCTAAAATTCTAGTTGGGGAGAAGCCATCCACATTAACATTAATGCCTGCGTTGGCACTAAAAGGGGGGATGTTGGGCTCGGCTAACTGTGGAGGTACCCAGTCCTCCTCCACATTCGGCGTAGCAGAGGAAGCACAGCTTCTTTCTTCAGCCGGCTCACACACAGATGACATGTCGTCTTGACTAGACGTGTCAGAAAACTGACCTGGGTCAAAATCTGACGCAGTGTCAGTGGCGTCAGAGTCTGACGCCAAGAAGGCATATGTCTCCTGCAAGTTATACATATGCTGCATGTTTTACACACAACTAAAACAAATTACAAACACACAAAAAACATTTTTATACTTTTTTTTATTTTTTTTTACTAAAACAGACTAAACAGCAATCCCTAAACTAACTCCTGTCACAAAAATCTAATAGAGATTTGGGGGAAGGAAACTGACTGACTAAGACAGACCAAGACACAGATTTTTAAAACAAATTTAACACTTTAAGGGCAAAAAAAATAGAGACAGTACAAATGCACTGCTGTAACAGATCTGTCAGGGAAGGGGTTAAAAATGATTTTTTATTCACTTTAGATACTGTATAAAGCTCTGGATCACTTCTGCTGCAACAAACTATCACGCTCTCTGTCTCTCTCGCCTCACAAATGTTACAGAGGAGAGAGTGGCAGAGATCACTGTCAAAGTGAGTGTTTGTAACACCCACTTTGACAGCAGCCAATTGTGAGCGATCGCGGATCGCTCACACACCACAATTGGCTGTTACTATCTGCCTGGGATGTCTGGCAGATAGTTACAGAGTTATACCGGTGGGAGCGATCTTTGATTGCTTCCCGCAGTCCGTTTTTTGCTATGACGGTTCAGGACCGTCAGCGGTCCAAACGCCTGTTTTCCTGAAGGGGTTAATCATTGATATGTTTCCATTAGAGCAGTGATTCCAAAATCAGTCTTCATGGCCCTGACCCAATCCATGATTAAAGTATTTCCCTTTTCTATTCCAAAGGAGATAATGACAAGACTTGTACTGCTGCTTGGCCATGAGTACTGGTTTGTGGACCACTGCTTAGTTTAGAGGATAAATACATTTACTAAATAGTAACTTAATGGGGAAGATTTACAAGAGTTTGCACCATAAAATTTCATTTGCTAGCTGGTGTTGCATGTGCAGAAAAACATTGGGGTTTAAGTGTGTAGTATGCAAATAAGTAGTTTAATGCAGATTAAGTCAATTCATTTTATCTAATTCCTCCTGAACTTTCTGCATCTTATGACAACATTGAATATATTCTTCATAAATCTTGCCCTGTGTTACCCTATTCTTCAAACTTCAGCATTCAGTTTTGTCCAAATTGAGATTCGGATGAATTTTGGGCAATCGGTTGTTCAGACAAATTCCATATATCTGGAGCGCAATGCAGATGGAGAACCTCTAATCAAGAAGCATCCAAACATGTTCGGGCATTGCCAACTAAATAATCCAATGGAAAAGCATTAGGACAATCCTATAGCCCAGTGTTGTTTTGTCACAGGGCAGGCTTCTGCTTTGTTGTATACTGAAGACAGGGGTCCAGATTCCATGTTACACCTCTGGCAGCCAGGCAGCAGTTCCTCTCCCTTTCTCAAAAGCCAAGCATGCATGACACACAGAGCATTGCCATGGCAACTTGCAGCAATGCTCAGACAGCCAAGGCTCCAGGAAACTGCTGGAGGCGGATTCTGGAGTCCCCTAGGGCTCTCTTCATTATAGTACACAGCAGTGGCCATACTGCATATATATATATATGGCGATACTCCCTACATATATATGCACATTGGACTCACACTGGCGGGCCCCAAGTGACTCTTGGCGGGCATTAAATACCAAAGTCTTCAGAGACTTTGTATTCACTGCCGGTGGCACCATATTACAATATCAGAGGGAGACTTTGATTTTCTCTGAGCAATCAGGGCCCCCAGGATCACTGGGCCAGTGACAACCATCATAGTTGTCACACCCTGATGGTGGCCCTGATTGGGACATCACTAGTTAAAAGGTCTCAGTAACTCTGCATCAACTTGCATTAACTCTTTAATTCTGCAGTACTTAATGAAACTTCATGCACTGCTCAATATAGTAAACCTATCGATACATGTATTTATGAAACAAAAACCCTTTGAAATAGATCAAACGTTATCCCTGATGCTGTTGGGGACCAGATGAAAGACCTGGAAGGCAGGAGTTCTCCAGAACATTGACATGATTAGTTGTCCTCTCAGCAACATTGCCAGCCATGGGAGGGCTGGGACGTGGGACGTGGGACAGGGAGGCAACTACCATCTGGGTTACTAGCATGGGAGAGCTGTAAAGGAGCTTATGGGCTGCAGCCTCAAACCACTTAAGATGTTTGTGCAGTTCTGTAGGAGTAATGCAGCAAGCAAGAAATGTACACAGCCTTTGCTAGTCTGGCCATATGTGGGTTTTAGCATGGTCTGTGCTTTCAGTGCTTTTCAGGGCTGTACTAGTCCACTGGGGCATTTACCAGTCAACTGTGGTATCTGAAGCTGACCAGGCTTCCAGGCTACAATCAATATGTATGATGCCCCTGGAGGTGTTTGCCATTGACCACAGGGTGAATCATGGCATTCATAATAAGCACCAGATAATATTTGGCAATGGAATCAAGGAAAAACTTGTCTACATCTTTTAGGTCATATGGATGATGGTTGCAAGGTTATATGTTTGATGGCACACCTTGAAATCCAACAACCCCATTGGTAAAATCCACATATACTGCATGCTCACACGAGTGGGACTATCAACACTGATCTGTGAATTGTGTGTGAAAAAGGGTGGAGGAGGCATTTTTAGTACAAATGTTACTATCCCTCCCCTGTTTCCAGCCATTAAAGGGACACAAAATACTTTGAGACAACTGTCTCATTCAAAAGCTGTAGCTTCGAATGAGACATTTGCCTTACTCTGCCAGTTGAAAAAAGCAGGTAAATTTGATATATTTTATATTTACCTGCTTCTTCTTTCTCATGCTTTCCACACCAACTCCAGAGAAAGCACACTGATCTAACCAATCAGTGTTCTATCCCTAGGAATGCTGGAAAAGTGCATTGGCCATGACTGACAGAGTCACACATTTGCAGTTGTTAGATTTCTCCACCTGGCAACAGCCTGAGAAGTGAGGGAGTCTGATCAGTGTGATTCATGCAGAGCAGGCTCAGGTATTGTGTTGCATTCTCCTACTGCTGCACAAGGTTTCCTTGTGTCTGTTAGTAGACTGATTGAAACTGACATGGGTAGGTAAGATGGATGGGAAGTGAACACTGAAGAAACTTGCCTAGCTGAGAGGCATGTATAACAATACAATATGACCAAGTTTATAGAAAGTTTATAAATGTTCATTACACAGATTTTCTTTATTTTGGTAAAGGGTGAAGGGAGAGGGAGCTGCAGAAGTAATCATGACAGATGCAACATGGATTTTTCTAGCATGTAGTGTGATCCTGTGCACAGTCTTGTAGGATTAACAGAATTCAAACACTTTATTGTGCAATTCACTTCCAGACACAGCATTAGAAGCAAAAACAAACACAATCCTAGCTCATCTGAGTTCTAACTTACATACATATATATATATCCCTATCTGTGAAGGGTTAAACTAAACTAAACCAAACCAAACACTCAGGTTTCACCAACCCTACAGGATATCAGTCTGTTGCACTTCAAATCTCACTTGCAGCTTAGCCTGCTGATTTTGAACTCTCACAGGAGGACCCAAAAATCCCTCTTACCTGCCAGATTTTCAACTACTGCTAATTTCTTTCAGCTGAGCAATGGGTTGGAGTCAGTCTAAACACCTGGCCTGGACCTTATTTCTCTTAGTTATCTGTAAATTGAGGAGTGGAGCACTGGCCCACTCTACTTACCGATTGCTCCACCTCAGGGGCCCGCATCCAGGGCCGGATTAACATAGGGGCTGATGGAGCTGCAGCTCCAGGCCCATGCCCATGAAATAGGCCCATTGATTTAAAAAAATAATTATTTTTACACACTACTCTTAGGGTTTCCACCTAGCTGGTATTTCACTGTCTCTGTGCCCCAAGTGACTCAATGTCCAAATTTCTCTGTGTCCCCAGGTCTCCCAATGTCCCCTGTCTCAGTGTCCCCATGCCTCACAGTGTTCCCATGTCTCTTTGTTCCTAGTGTCCTACTTACATGGGGACCCTGGGAGACATGGGGACACAGAAACTAGGGAACACTGGGAGACATGGGAATACTGGGGTACATAGGGAGACATGGGTACACTGGGCGACATGGAGACACAAGAGGACACTGGAAGACATAGGGCATTGAGACACTGGGAGACCTGGTAACTTGACACTAGGGGACACTGGGATACATAAGGACACTGTGAGACCTAGGGTAATCGACACATGGGGACACTGAGTCATGAGGACACTGGGAGACATGGGGGGCACTGGGAGACTGGGCGACATGGGGACACTGGGAGACATGGGGAAACTGATACATAGGTAAAGATGAGACAGTTGGAGACTTGAGACACTGGAAGACAGGGAGACACTTCCCTTTCTTCTACACTCACTACATACAGCTTTTCTCTGTCCCAGACTATATACCAGGAGCTTCTGCCTGCTAGTAATAAGGTAAGGAGACAAGTGAACCAGCGAGTGCTAGGGGACAGTCCTTAGAAAGTGTTGAGCGAGCGCATCATTAGACACATTTATGCCAAGCTTAGGGTGCTGTCTGCATAGTAGTTGGCTAGCTTGCATGATTGGCAGGCAGCCTGACATGCATTCATGCCAGGCTGGCCTTCCAATTCTTTGGGCAGACATGCCTCCTTTTTGGGCATGTTCGCCCCTTTTGGCAGGTTAAGTGATTTGTGTCAGTGGCACACCCATTTACCGTGCCCATTGACTTACTGCTTCACTGGACACTGCTGTTAGGGGTTATGGATTCACTTAAAAGATAAAAACATAAATTAGAGAGAGATTAGCATAGGGTTTTTTTTTGTTTTGTTTTTTTTTATCTGCTGTTTTCTTTCCCTCCAGCACCATCTCCATCAGATACATGACACTTGGAAGTGTTTTAGTGTTTTTTGTCGATAAGATTCTGTAATTAGGCCAATCATAATTTTCAGCACCAGGCCCACTGGGCTCTTAATCTGGCCCTGCCCGCATCTAAACATTAATTTATGTTGCATACAACATATACTCCCCCTGGGGTTAGATGTCATATGCCTCTGAAAAATTCAGAGGAAATCTATCCTCAGAAACAAGACCTTTCACTTTATCATGACTTCTTGGAGACAAACAAATTCCTATTTAATACACTTAAGAACAAAGGTTAAATTCGGTTCAGCTGAATCATTCCTGAAATTAAAATTATTTAAAAAAATCCAAAGTGTCAGCACTTAGTGCATCTTCTCCTAAATATAATAAGATATGGGTACTACTAGTGAATAATGTTCAAAATATATGTCTAAGTTCTCTATTTCAGTTATATTTGATAAAATCATTAAATCATTAAGTGTTCAAGATTAAAAAGGATAGAAGGCAGAGTGTCTGTATTCACTCTCCAGTGCAACAAAGTTTCTCCTTAGTTCGATATATCTATAAAAAGATGCAAAAACGAAACCTAGTACAGTACTGTAACTTTTAATGAATATAACCCCCCTCTTCCTTATAGGGACTCTATAAAATGGTGGTGCTTGTTTCCAAAGACCACAATAAAGGCACAATTTACAGTTCAGTATGTAGGTGCTGCTCGGCTCTGCAGACACCTCTGTGCACCGTAGTCGGAGTCAGTCACTCACGCTTCTAAAGAACGCCGAAGTCAGGACCCGATGAACTGTTAAGGACTGTGTCGCTTTAAAAATTTAAATACAGGACCAGATATATATACACCTTACATCCACTGCGGCGTTTATCTTAACAAAGCCCGTTATAGTGGGCAAAATGCGTTGATTTCGCCAAACGGTGATTTGTGTTTTAGAAGCTCCAGGCATCAGTGGCATTTAAGCGGGTCCTGACTTCTTCAGAAGCGTGAGTGACTGACTCCGGCTCCGGCGCACTGAGCTGTCTGCAGAGCCAAGCAACACTTTTAAACGTAAATTGTGGCTTTATTGTGGTCCTTGGAAACAAGCACCACTGTTTTAAAGTTTAAGAGTTCCTATAAGGGAGAGGTGGGTTACACTGGATACTGAATACAGACACCCTGCCTTCTATCTTTTTTAATTTTGAACAATATTTTAAGTGGTTTTATCAAATATAACTGAAATAGAGAACGTGGACATATATTTTGAAGATAATTCACTAATTGTACCTCTATCTAATTATATTTGGGGGAAAAAACACTAAGCGCTGACACTGAATTTTTTAAAACTGTTTGTTGAAATCTGGGGAAGTTTTTTGTGTGTATAGCTGCTTATCTTATTCAGATTTTTTTATATTGATGTTTTAATAGTGTTATTAACTTTATTCTTTGCGCTCTCATACAAGTGAAATTTTAATTATGTTTGGGATGTCTTATGCTCGTTCATGTGATGGTTTGGTTCAGTCGAATATCGTCTATGGCAAAATATTCAGGGAAGCATTCGAACAAGCCAATAACAGTTTGAAAATGGGCCGATCAGTGTACTGCAAAATAAATACACAATATATACAGTTAAATTATGTTCCCGATATATTTTGCAGTATGCTAATAGGCTGATTTTCTTGCCTTTTCATTCACAGATCAAGTAAAACAAAGTTAACAGTAGAGGAATAAATAAATCTATCTTTATTTTATTAAATTTATAACATATAGATTGTTTATACTATTCCTCCTTTTTTCCTCTCTATTGGTCACTTGATTTCTGAATAAAACCAAAATGTGTTGACTGTCCCCTAGCCACTAATCATCTTTTTTTCCCATTAATAATGTCTTTTTTTGAAACCTTGGCACAAATCAAAACAAACATGGTCATCCATTGTGTGTTTCGTTGGTTTTGAAAAATTCAGCTACATTTCGGCTTAGAGTTTGTGATTTGAAATGATTACCTGATCGGCTTACATTCAAACACAAACCCTGCTCACAAATGCAGGTCTGCAAGGATGGGCACATGGTAGATCCCTCCCCAGCTGGCAAAGCATTGTGGGAGATGTTTCAGCTTCTCCAGAGGAAAGCACAGTGGGCAAATTAGTTTAAAAAATCCTCGGCGGGGCGAGAGTTTATTATGTGGTGGCTAGCCAGCCACCAGGCGGGGCCAGAGTTTATTATGTGGTGGCTAGCCACCCAACACATTAAAAAAAATTAATACAATAAAATTAAATAAGTCAATAAGACCCCCATATTACTATAAGGGAGGGCTCATGTATGCAGCCATTGCTGTACACTTGATAGAAAGGCCCCATCCCATGACTGGTGCTGCCAGTGTGAAAATAGTATTTACAACTATCTTTCGCTTGCATGAAGGCACATGAAAGGTAATGTGCAAACGGACAGGTACTTAAAACAATCATTTATGTGAGAAAAAAAACATTGAACAAATGTGCTAAACCCTTGCTTTGCAAAGATTGGCTAATCCTTTAATAATCCTTGCATTATTTTATGCATTTAATTCAATTGACTGACAAATGTAACAAAAATAGGTCAGGACTGAAAAGTACTTGAAAATTATGTTTTTAATCCCTAAAATCAAGAATTACGGAGAATTGGCAAAAATAATGCAATTTTAAGAGTAGACTAGATTAGGTATTTTAGACTAGAATTTGTAGTTACCTTTTTAATTACCCATACTTACAGGTTTAGGGTTTAAACCAACTTGAGTTACTATGATATGTATTAACATATGAACTACTATCAAACACTTGAACTCGACACTAAAAACTAGGTCATAGCAGTAAACAAATAATTTGTATTTGAATGATTGTGTAGGATATAAATAAATTAAGTAATTATAGCTAGCTATAGATCAAACCTTTCAATTGTTTAGCTGCTCCATTTTGCTCGTCAGATGTTCCCAATTTTCTGCACATCCAATTTTTTATGTGTATGAGTATGGAACAGTTCTTTGTAGCAATAATACTCTCAATAATCTGCCTATAAATGTGTTTAGAAATGAATCTGTGAAAATAAAATACTTTAGTCTTGTTCTAGCTTACAGATTCACATATCAGTAAGTGATAAAGTCACCTAAATAGCCCTGCACCAGGCAATACCTCTGGACAAACCCATAAGCCGTAAAGGGACAGTTTCCATCTTAAATTGCTTGACATTAGTGGGTGTGTTCTCAAAATCTATCCACTTATGGTCATCAAGATTCTAGGATTATACTAGACACATTGCTAAGTCATATGCAACAGTAATCATGAAATTATAGTTTAAAGGAGAAGTCACCTCAACACTATTTATTTAATATAATAAACCTTTACTCAAGTTTTGAAAGGAAATAGATAATTTTTTTAAATGAAGTATATGTAATTTATATGAAGTAAAATATCCCTTCTGCATTTAGTAAAAGACATTATCATTTAGCCATAAATATGCACATTTGGTCAGATAGTGTTTGAATGTTAGTTGGTCTAATGATGTTACTGCACTGTGCAGGGATTGAAACAAGGAAGATGACAGTCTTTATAGAGGTTTCCAAGCACTATTTGGCCCAAGGTGAATGCATTTGGCTGAAGGATCCTGTCATATACTAAAGGTAGGGATGGGATTTTCTCTCTCTTTTTTAACCCCTTAAGGACACATGACATGTGTTACATGTCATGATTTCCTTTTATTCCAGAAGTTTGGTCCTTAAGGGGTTTAAATATATATATACTTAATGTAACACAGAATCAATTTCTTTTCAAAACGTAATGACTTAATTTGATTTGGTTGGCCAAATAGATTTGTGCTTATTAGTGACATTTAGAATAATTTCTTGCCATTTAAAGGAAAAAAACAACTATTATTTTTGAATTGCCACTCAGAGGGTTTTTTTTATTTTTATTAATTTTAACAGTCAAGATTTTTCGCTAGAGTGACAATTGTTGTGAAAAGTGAATTTCAAATTTTAATGTAGTTGTTCAGGTGAGTATAATAATCCCCTTCAGGCAAGGGGCTAAGGGAGAAGGGGCAAACCACCTCAATGGTGGCTTTAATACAAGAGGGTCAAGAATACATGTTTGTGTTCCTGACCCTATAGTGTTCTTTTAAGGCCAAAATAGGAAAAAAAACAACTAAATTAACTCTAAAAGGTTTTCTAATTAGGCTCTCTTAGCATAAAGTTTGACAATCACTTTTAATTATTTTTTATTCCTGTGCAATTCTTACCAAGTGTGTTGTGGCAAACTGACAATGGAATTGCAAAAGAATCATAAAATATATCTGAAAAAAATATCTGAATAGGAAAACTTTGACAACCTGCCTATTTTGGTCTGCATGTTGCAAACTCATTGTAAGGATACCACAACCACTATTTTAGTGGTTTATATTACAAAAATAAACACGTATGTTTATAACACTCAACACATAAAACTTAAAAGTGTGTCAAAAAGAGGTTTTCGTAAAAAGCAAAACCAAATTTTAAAAAACAGTTTACAGTAAAGTCAAGGTGACCCACTTAAAGAAGAGGCCTAAGGTAAAATATACCTTTCATTTTGAGTTCTAATTTTCACTACTTGACAATGTGTTGTGGTAATGGTGTGGTAGATGTGACCTTTCTTTAGAAATAGCCACCTTTTTAAAAATAGAAACTTATTTGTAAATTACTAGATAGCCTGTGGTTTATATTTATGCCAATGCAAAAGAAAATATCCAGCGCGCTCCAGAAGCTTTTTCCATCTACAGGCACAGTTGTCCATACAAATGATTTCATTTTATAAAAACTACAATTAAGCATTGTAAAAAAGTGCTCTAGAAAAATACTTCAACCCATCATTAGTCAAAACTTGGCTATTTTAACCTATATTTTGCAATTTGGTTTCTACAGTTTGGTATTTAATGAGTAAACTCTATTGTGCTGCATTATAAAGGTTATTCACTAAACATTCATTTTTATCAAATCAAATCGGAATAGCAAAATTGAGGCCAAAATAGTCTAGCTGTAACAAAAGCTGGGTTGGAGAAGTTTTCCAAATCAGCTGTTTTAGCCTTAATTTTACCATTCAGATTTAACAAGTTAAAAATGGAAAAATGGCTTATTGTTTTAGTTTTTTTTTTTTTAATCATAGCTGCAATTTGATTCTCAGCCCTTTTCATGGTTTTGTCTTTTTAGATTAAATAACTATAAATCAGAGAACGTGGACTGTCACTCTGCCCATCTGTCCTACCCACGTCTTTTGGACGGTGGGAGGGGGCAAATAACAGTTAAGGGTGGGGACCTGCTCAATGTACCCATCATGCCTTTCAGCCATATGCAACTGGTGAAAGGTTCTCATGTAGTACACTGCTGACAAATGGCACTACTAAGTCTTCCTCAAAAATAAAGTATGCCCTATCTATATATGTAGATTGGATTTGCTTTCACTGGAGTCAAAATGCCCAGGTCAAACATAAAGTATGAATAAGAGTATTGGTTATAACAACTAGTTAGCATTCTGAATCATGCAACGTTTGTTCGTGATGCATACATTTACGTACCTTGCTGTAAATACGTTTTACATTTTGAAGGAAAAATAAATACTTCAGCAGTGATTCTGTTTGACTTTATTTTTTGTGTCTATGTATTTGTCATTACTTGAACTCCTTAACAGTAGGTTAAAATCTCCTCCTCATTTACCTAGTAGAAAAATGGTCAATGACAAATAAGTTGTCACCTTTATATACATAAAGTCTTTAAAATGAAACTATATAATTAACATAAACTTTACTATTTAATTTAAAGGTACCCAATACTGTATGTTACATACCCAATAATTACAGATTATTAAATAAGATAAAATCACTTCTGATTCTTCATTATTTAATGAGAAAGATAATATATGACAAAGTAATTTTTTTATAAAACTAACTTCAGTGGCTTTTGCCAGTGTTCTATGGATCTTAGTTGCCCTAAAGAAGGACTCGCCTATTAAATAAACAATTTGTTGTGGGAAGTTACTCCTGGGACAGAGTGAATACAACATCCCAGTTTATTATCCTAATTAAGAATATTAAAATTGTCACAATATATCTAAAGTTTTTTTGTTATGTTTTATAACATTTATATTTCCTGGCTTTAGCTGATTAACATTAAATCCATATATATATATATTACTTAAGAATATATACAGTATTAGTATTAAATACTTATTACATTTAAAACGTAATGCTTAAAGTTTGCATTTATAAAGACTAGAGACTATAAACCACTTATAACTATTATAGGGCTATTTTTTTCGTTTTAACTCTAATCTCTAACGATCAAGAAAATGCACATATCGATGTACAACATTTTTGATGCAATTATGTTATTATTCATGCCATATTTAATTTCCTGTGCCACAGCAGATGATTTCTGTTTTTAAACTCAAGCACAAGTGATAATAGATATTTTTATTAAATTATGTTCGTTCAGAAGACCATCAAACATGTTTAACATGTATTTGAAACATACAGCCAGTGTACTATTAAATGATGTTTATAACAATTTTTTTTTAAAATAATAATAATTATTCTACATATATAAATTTAAACACAAGATGGAATTTAAGTTCCTCCATCTTTTGTTCTAGTTTACTGGTTTATACCCCTGGCACTGGACACAAAAATGAGTATCCATGTCATTTTTGTGGGTTCCCAATAGTAAGAACAAATACATCATATTAAGTGGCTAGGGCAATTTCTTGAACTAAACTTTTTACTATATGGTTACTGCCTTCCACAGAACCGGTAATTGAAGAAGGTTTTCAAACTGTATTTTACCTTTAATTGTATTTCACTTCATAAAGTTGTCACTGAGGTAATTTTACAGTTGAACAAAGATTTATGACAAATACATAATTTGAGTCTGGACAAAAATAATACTATTAATCATTAGCCTCTGTAGCAGTCTTGTTGCAGTTCAGTACTTAAGAGGATAGGGACTTGTTTGCTAGACAGCAATTTGTGTTGAGATTACTGCCTACGCTCAAAATGTTAGCTGAAAGAGAGTTCAGTGACAAATTCCTCAAATGTCCAAAATAAGAATACACTGACGAAAAATTATTTAATCATGACAAGTTTACCAGGGTTATTCACTAAAGCGAGAATTGTTGGAAATTCAGAGTGAACTCAAAGTGAATTTCCAATGTATGGCAAAAGAGCCGAATGAAAATAATGCTTCCAGTTTGACATTTTTTGGCCTTTAAATTTGAAGTTCACGGTGAATTCATCTTTAATTCACTTTTAATTCTTGCTAATTCTCACAAGAGTGACTATTCCCGCAAGTGTCAGTCATAGATACATTTTAACACTGGCAAAATTGTGGCCGTCATGACTGCTTTAAAGGCTGTCTTATAGTAACAATACAGGCATTACACTGTTGCAATAGGATACTGCCATAGTGCCAGTTGCACGGTTAGTTATATAAACTGCAAAAGATTTTTCAATGTTGCATGGATAATGTATTTTACAGATATATATTTTCAGTGTAATGTCACAAATCTTGATATGTTAGTATTATATAAGTAAGGTATCCATGTGAATAATATATTTACATTTAAAACATATATAACTTTCTTATCAAACAAGCAAAACAAACAGTTTGTTACTGAAAACTTAAGGCCTGCAGATAATAAAGTGAATCTCGGTTAAAAGGCAATATTTTTTTGTAACGTTTTGGAATTTAAAAGCATAGTTTACACTTTGAAAGTATTATCAGCAGCAAAGAAATAATACATTTTTACCTGCAGCCATACTCAGTTTCCGTCGCGTATGGAACAATCTGAGGTTCTGTAACCAATAAGTTTTTAAGCTTATTGCCTGCTTAGATAAGGTATCCAAAGCTGCACAAGTTTAATGCATGCCTTTGTTTTAAACAGGAAATGAGGTGCACTCAAATTGCAAACAAACCTCTATTTTTGTCACAAAGGGAAAATTAACCTTTCTAGCTGATATATGATACTTTTTTTAAATCAGTTAATCATTTACTCTTATTTTTCCTTTTTAAATCCAATCAGTCTCCAAGTATGGTCATCTCACCCAAAATGGGGTGCATCACCCTTATGGGTATTCAGACTGGCAGGCTGCAGTGGTCACTGGCTGCTAATGTTCGGAGTGTTACTGAAGCTATTTTACAGAGGCTGAGTGTAGTGAGCTCATTAAAGAGGGGCTTGCACTGTCTGATATTCCCATTCACCATGTACCATGAAACAAACCTGGGATGGAAGGACAGGGGCCCTTACTGGGACGGATCCACTGTCTTGGACTTTTGATGGTGGCATGTAAAACCCTCATACAGTGGGTACAACTCCATTAGGTGCTGTATATGTGATATGTAGAGCATTGCAGACGGAAAACAAATATTAAGTATATCCAGTGCTCAGAATTTCAATTCCTGATCAACAAAGTGTCCAGAGTGTTCGCTGTGGATTGAGCAGAACCTAATTTTTGCTCTTCACTTGTGAGTACCTCTTTTTATCAGTGTACAGTAACATCAGTGAGCACTGTATATTTCTTATTTCTGTTTTTTTATATACTACTAATTCACCTACAAGCCTGTGAGACCACGAGGTGGGGTGGATATTATCCTGGTTGGAGGTTCTTGGCACCGGAGCAATTTAATAAAGACAGTGAATATCCCTAACCAGGAATTGTACCGCCAAAGCAAGTCAAGATAGAGCTAACATAGCTCTAAAATCTGTAATTGCAATTTCACTTCTTTTAGTATCATTTTATGTGAGACATGTTACACTACATTTTGTTGCATTCTTCTGTTTCCACACATTCTACTACCTCTGAGAATGTACCTACCTCAAGAAATATATCAAGGCGCTGCACCCTCTTTGTATTTTACATACTATCTGCTGGACAAGAATGGAGAGACTCATTGAGGGAGTTCGGTTGTTTTAGTGACCCACCCGTTTTAAGTATAAGTGCTAGAAACCAAGTTTCCATATATTTTAAACTTTATGGCAATATATGTCTAGGAATATATGTGCCTAGCAGTCTATATACGTGTGAATGTTTGTGTTTGTCTGGCAATGTGTATTTGTATGTGAATGTGTGTGTCTGTGAATACATGTCTCTCTGTTTCTTTCACAATGTGTTTTATACAGAATCTTTTCATGTTTCAGAGACACTTCACATGCTGGATAAGGTAAAATTACTTGGTCTTTTTATTGTGGCTCCAAAATTTAATTTGAACCCTAACATTAACCCTAAATGTCCCATGTCCTAAGCTTAGTGAATGCACTAAATATAATAAAAGTGTAAAACTAGTTTTACTTACCTTCCAGGACCTTGCTGTGGAGGAGTAGCAGGAGTGCTAGCACGCATGTGCAGCAAAGGATCCAGCTGATTCCCCTCCCCGGAAGTGACGGGGGTATAGCAATCTGACGGGGGTATAGCAGACTGATAGAACACCGGTTCAGAGGGGGGAAGTACGGGGCTCTGAGAATCCACAAAGAGAATGGGCGTTTCTTCCGCCAAGACAGCACCAGGCCACAATTTGCTGGAGGCCACAGTAGTCGAACAGCTCCCAAAACCACTCCAAGATTTCCCCAGGAGTATTAGACGAGGGTACCAGTGTGGATAAATCCAATAAGAAGGGATCCTCTTTTTAGCTTTTAGAGCAGGATCAAGCAGGAGCCCAAGCACTCTGCGACCATCCAGCATGGCATCCAGGCCCCACCCCCCCAAAGACGTATTTTGCCTCCCCCACCCTCCCCTGTTTCTCAAAACAGGGTGTCTGGGAATATCTATGTGTGTGGGAGTTAGTATCCGTGTGCAAGGGATGCCTTGTAAAATTGTTTTGTAAGAAATGCAATTATTTCTGATTGTAGTGCTTAGTTTGTATGTGTGTGTAAGATATATATGTGTTTGTAGAAATGTGTGCTAGATTGTGTTAAGGCTCTTTATGTATGTGTATTTATGTAGGTATGTGAGATTAAATGACTTGAGTTAAATATATACGCACAATTCAGTTACTGAACTGGAGGCCATTGCTCATGAGCAGTGGGGCTAAGATTCCTAAGAAACTGCTGCCAGAAGCTGGAGTCTAGCTCTGCATCTTGTTTGCAGCAGGTGATAATAGCAAAAGGGTGCTCTACTAAGTACTAAAGATGCTTGCTATTAAGGGGTTGAACAATTTTGAGACTGGATAAGTCATTATATGATGAATTGTCAGTGGAATTTTGGGAAACCACTTGAAGCATTCGTTGTGTTGAGCTATTTCAATTGCTTTTGTTTGATTTGTTCATTGCAAACAGCTGAAAGTCTGTATATTTTGACAATAAACCTGATTTTCAATGTTGAATAATTTTGATTACAACTGTATATGTGAAAACAACACCTGTATTTTGAGATACAAAAAATAGAAAAAAACTGAAAGGGGCAGCACACCTATATAATGGGGTTTCCTCACTGACCCACAAAAAAAGAATAGAAATATCCAATAAAAGGATGAAGGTAGCGCCAAATGTAATTAATGTACTTTAAAGGTAAGAATCTTTAGAAAATAAATGTAACAAACTGTACATAAATAGCAAAAATAACTAAAATAGCAGATATAAAAGTCCATAGTAATGTCCAATAAATAAAATGCAACTAAATATGGTAAAAACTAATCAATAAAATATCCAAATAAAACTTGCAAGGAAAACAACAGCCAGGTCCAGTCAGGAGGATTCTCCTATGGAAGTACCAGATCAGGATTCTCTTGGGATCCATATATAAAAAACCCAAAAAACAAAAAAAAATTGTGCAAAATGTAACAACAGAAAGTGGTTCTAGTAGATCTAGTAGATCTTAGGTCTAATGTTATCCTACTCACGTCTAATAGAGCTAAAACTAGCTCTAGTATGGATAGCATACAATGGTATAATCCCCACTTGTAGGAAATGTGAAGTGATGTACTTTAGCAGATGTCACAGTGATATGAAGACCATAGAAATATATGGAAACAGCAATAGTGCTCACTGTATATAATATAACAGCATGAATAAGGCATGGTATAATCCCAACCTTGGATTCTTTAGAGTAGTTCTGGAACAGTAAAATTAAGTGCCAGGCAATAAAATATAAAATAATAAAATAATAGCAGTATAAAAGGAAAGTGGCACACTCACAAATTGGAATTTGCCAAAATGACTTTATTAAAATAGCTAAAAAAATATCCACAACGCATTTTACCACACAGGGGTTTATCAAGCAGAGATAAGTAAGTAACCTGGCAGAAAAGGGTTTAAATAAGAAAAAACAAACATTTCAATTTCAAATTTGGATTCAAAATGACATCATCAACATGTGACCATGGTGAGAATTTTTTAAATTACACAAGAAACATCTATCTTATACACATTACAAGCAGCATGATATACATATTTGAGGTATAGAAAATATATATAAAACCAAAGCTCCTAATTATGTAAAAAACTAGTTGTTCGCACACGACCCACTTCCAACTAGCTTTTGTGAGTGTGCCACTTTCCTTTTATTATTATTTTATTATTTTATATTTTATTGCCTGGTACTTAATAAAGCTGCATAGGCCATGCATGTTACCACATCTTTCAGTATAATCACTATCTGTTAGATGAACTAATGCAAAAGAAATACAAAATGTGACCAATGCTATTTACCACTTGACCTAAGTGGTTTACTGAGCTGTACAAGAGAAGGTAAGTAAAAAGCAAGAGAACAAAGGTGGACTGATAGACTGAATAAACTCCCACACACCCCCATTTACACATGTGCATACTATGTAAGCAAAGATTTAAAAATAACTATGTATTCTTCTAGTAAAAATAAAAAAACTTCATTATATGCCTCAAAAAGGTAATTCTTGCATCTCTTTTCAAGTCAATGGAATTGCCATCCTGATATATAATAATGTTTCAATGTAACTTGGCCATACACATTCCATGAATAAAAAAAAAAAAAACATATAATGAGAATAAATTCAAATTTGAGAATAAGTGCTTAAAGGGACACTCCAGGCACCAATACAACTTTAAGCAGTTGATTGCTTTTGGCCTCATTAATAGGCATTCATTTTTCTGCATACTTAACTATTTATAGTTTTTGCTGAGAAAAAAAACAAATGTTTAGCAGTTAGCCTGCCTCCTTAGCCATGCCCCCTCATGCCAGAAAGACTTTGACATCAAAGGTATGTACACAGTCTCAGCCACAACTGCACTGAGTGAGCTGTTTTTAATTCACAACCTGTCAGGGTTTCTTTGCTGTTTTAAACAGCCACCCTTCCTTTTTCAGTGTCTGAGGTTTCAGCTGTAATTAACGATCAGCTCCTTCAGCATGTTGCCACGGTTACTCACTTGAGAATAGTAATCAACCCTGCTGCTAATCAGTTCAGCCTATTTAAGCAGCAAATCCCAGAACCTCCTTGCCCTTGCGTGGTTTCCTGTCCCCCAGAAGTCTCCTTGTTCCTGTGTTTCCTGTTTGCTCCTGGTTCCTGACTCTGGCCTTGTTCCTGACTCCGCTGCCCTCCGTGCTCCTGATCCTGGCTCGTCTGACTACCCGCTCTGGTGACTGACCCCTGCTTGCCTCCTGGACTTTGCTTTTGGTGATTTCTTTGTTATTAATTAAATAAAGGTGTTTTTGCATCTAGATCTGTCTCTGTCTGGTTCCTGGTTCCTGACACAACCTAGCTGAAGACAGTCAGACTGTGACGGAACGCCTGGCACTGCAACTGGGTGCCTCCGACAATCGCTGCTTCCTAGTAAGCCTTGAGTACCATAAGCACTGCACCAACAGCACTGTAGACCCTTAGCCGCTGCAGCTTGGCTGGGGTCTTGCTGTCCTCCAC